CCCCCCCCCCCCCCCCCACCCCATTATAGACTGCAACAACCGTATTCATCAAATAGTCGATGGTGGAGAAAAATAACTTGAAATTAGAAAACAAAAATAACAGATTATTATCGAGTATATAACAATAATTATAAGTGAAATCGAGCGCGCTTAAATGAAAAAACAATATTTTCTTTGTTAATATATATTTTTAATATACAAATAAATAATAAATTCCCGCTCTTTTCATCGATTCTCAAGGAAAACAACTATAGTTGATGAGAAGTCTTTCAGTATACAGATGATACGTCAGGTAACAAAGCTAAAGGTATACGTGAGTTCCACATTTCTGCTCCGCAGGAGCTGCGCTAACAAGCTTTTTTGATTACTTTTCCTGTTAAATTTTTTGTAGTTGTTCAGCCATCAATTCTCAAGAGATATGTTTCAAGTTTATTTAAGGAAAATATAAATATAGAGATTTCTAGAATAAAATTTTTTCTGTCTTTTGAGATTTTATTCAAATTGATTTGATTGAGATTTAGAAAGAAAAAAGAATCACATACTAAGAACAAGAAAGACAAAAAAAGTATGATGGTTATCTATCTATTTTTATGGAAACAGATTCAATGTTTTCTTTGCAATGACGCAAAAACTACTCAAAGAAGGCTAAAATTCTGAATTTATAGATTTTTTTTGTGTGCTCTTTGATTTATGACGATCAAAAAGATAACCAAAACTTTTCGTATGACACCATACTACGAATTTTACTGAAAACATTTTGACAAAAGAACTTCAGGGTGTGGATGTAGATTTGTGAGTCCTAAAATACACCCACACTGGCAATCAATCAAACGGACAAGTATAGCTCACTGGTTCGTATATGTTTTGGTATGCTGATGCGATTACCATTTTATTTAATCAAGTGAATGGCATATACGAAATAAAAAACAATTCTCTGTCTCAGCATACAAAACTTGACATTGACATATCAGTGCTGAAAAATATTTTCCTCGGGGTAGTTGTTTTTTTTTTCATTTGATGAAAGGAGTCTGTATACATCGGTAAATGTGACGAAGCAAAAACAGAAAGCAGAACAACAGAAAAATATATTACTTCAGTTTGTTTCATAAAAGTAAAAGTAAATGAAATTTTATCGTCAATATAATCCTATGATGGAGGTTTGTTTTGATGACGAAATACCTGCCTTGCTTGTGTCATATTTATTTTTCTGTTTCACATACAAGTATATTACGACATTGCTATCTTTTTAAAACCTTGTCATTAATTATCGTAAATAAAATTAACATGATAAAGCTTTACTAATGCTTTAAGAAGCTCCAATTTGATGCTTAAATATCTTGATTTTAATAGGTGAACCTAATAAGAGAATGTTCGAAAAATTTTAAATGCTTTCTTAAAACTCATTTTTAACGATTTTCAATGAATTAACATTCATTGAAACTTAAGACTATTATGAAAACTTCTTATCTTATATGACTATTCTTTAGTATACATCATTTAGGTTGTATAACTTATTCCTCCAATAGTTGACATTTTGCTTATCTTTATAACTATATATCTATATATATAATTTGGTAATAATACCAATAATAATAATAAGATAAACACCAACGTCAATATGTAATAAAACGCGAAGAAACAGCAAAAAACAAAGATACACGATAGTAGAGCCTATTAGGTGCAAAATTTTCGGACTTAATCGAACCGTACTTTGACACTTACAATGAAATTTTCTAATGGATATTGAATGGTCGTCCCGAAGATATGAGATTTTTTTTTCGTATGTATTAACTAGTACATGCTACACATTTTTCAGAAGACTAGAGTCCATCAAGTCTGGAATCGACTAAATGGACTCTACAAGTTAGTAGAAAGTTATTTATAGTCTCAAAATACATTATTAGTATGAAGACATGCTATAGAAAAAAACATGCGACAAATCTTACGAAAATATATTGCTCCATGAAAAACAAAATGATCAACTGTTGTTTTGCTCTTATTAAATCGAAAGAATAGCGATTTTATTGTTAATAGCTGTAGTTGTAGACTATAAATATTTATCACTTTCAGAAAGAGAAATTTTGCAAAATCTAAAGACAACGTTTTTGGAATATTACTGTACTTCTGAAATCATCAGAAGAATGGAGACTTATCATGAACTACGAGAAAGTACAACGAAGTATTAAAGCGCATGATGAAGTATCTAAAAGTTTGAAACAGTATATTAAAGTATGAAGAAGTCTCAAGAATCACAAAGGAGTATTATGAAATACAAAAATATAGACTTATTTTTAATCGAGCAATAAAATAATTAAAATGAGCAATAATTAGATTCAGCAATAATTATATTGAATGAGCAATAAATATATTGAATCAGCAATAACTATACTGAATGAGCAATAGTTTATTTAAATTAAAGATAAATTTCACATTAAAAAGGAAATACGAATTCATTTATGTAAATTGTATGGTTTTTTACTGTTATGTGTTTACGTGAGTTCGATTTATTTCGTATACACTTGAAACATGGTGTATGAGAAAAAACGCAGAAAAAACAATGAAGTTGAGAAGACAATAGAATTTAATATAGTGTAAGATAATCATAAGGAAATTTTCAAGATGATTAATAGGACAATTCTAATACACTGGATGGGAAAACTTATGTTAAGAATTTATTAATACAAATACGTATTTTTTCAATCTTATAAAATAAAATATATAATTTATATAAATGGCTCAATCAAAACGCGTAGCGCAGTATATTTCTGACAGTGAAGGTGACAATGATATGGAACTAGTCTCTTGATAACAGGGTGAGGATGAGAATGCAAACCTCCACCAGAGGCAAAAGATGTGGATATTGACAGTAAAAGAAAAGAAGGGAGACCAGCTGAATCAAAAAAAAAGCTTTATTGACACAATAATATTAATATATTAATTTTTCTTTTTTTATTGTCAATTGTAAATAAAAAT